TCCTGGGTCTTCCTTTCGGTCTTCTCCCAGTTGGACGTGCCCGGAAAACTTCACCAGGGAGGTCCAGAAAGCATCCTGACCAGATGCCCGAGCCACCTCAACTGGCTTCTCTCGATGTGGAGGAGCAGCGGGTCTACTCTGAGCCCCTCCCGGATGACCAAGCTTCTCACCCTATCTTTAAGGGAGAGCCCAGACACCCTGCAGGAAAACTCATTTCGGCCGCTTGTATCCCTGATCTCATTCTTTCGGTCACTACCCAAATCTTGTGACCATAGGTGAGGGTAGGAACGTAGATCAACCAGCAAGTCGAGAGCTTCACCTTCTGGCTCAGCTCTCTCTTCACCAAGACAGATCGGTATAACACCCGCATCACTGCAGATGCAGCACCAATTACCAATACTAATCTGTATATCAATCTCATGCTCCACCTTTCCGTCACTCGTGAAGAAGACCCTGAGATCCTTAAATCCCTCCACTTGAGGCAGGACCTCATTCTTGACCTGGACAAGGCATTCTGCCCTTTTCCATCTTAAGACCATGGTCTTGGAAGAAGGAAGTACCAACTAAATAATAAAAAATTGTTTACATACAGGTATGATGTATGCTCGACTTTTTCAAAGGGAGACTAGGCAGTTTTGGCTTGACTTTAGCCCCCCCTAGTGTTTGTTAGTAGAGCTCTCATCCCTATGAGATAACATCTGAAATATCTCCCCAGCCTTCCTTAGTTTCTACTAGAATGAGTCATCACTGAAATAAACAAATCAGCTGTGTTCATGATCTAAAACCAGCAGGAAACTCGCTGGAGCCAGACTGCAGCGCCGTACGGTATGTATGCAGGTATGTCAGCTCCATTTTTTTAAGTCCAACAGACCGGACCGGCAACTGTGAAGCTACAAGTGGAATATTCTGGTCACCAGTGTTGGGAAAGTTACTTTTTAAATGTAATTAGTTATAGTTACTAATTACTTTGTCAGGTAACTCAGTTACTGAGTTACGAGATTATAAAAGTAACTAATTACCAAGAAAAATAACTACTTAGTTACTTTTTTCATTAAAGAATGCAAGAGAAATGGGTTAATTGAACTTACTTAATTTACTATAAATTACTACAATAGTGAAATATAAATGACTAATGACTGGAACATAATAAAATGTATGTCCAAATGTTTTTTATAAACCTGAATAATTTAAACAAATAAGCACTTAACAGGAGGAACTACTAACAGGAGCATTACACTAATCTAGACTATTAAAAGGTCACTGTGTGATATTTAACAAGACCCCAATCAGCTAAAATTTAAAATTGCAAATAGAAACACCTGTAAAGGTTCCCGAGCCTTTAAATGGTATCTCAGTCTAGTTAAATTACAGAAATAAATGTAAATTTGTACAGTATTTTAATTTTTCCAGCATCACATGTGTGTCTTTAGCATCATTTCTGTTGCTGGTAATCTAGTAACGGTTAAATAAAAAAATAAATAAAATCCTTTAAAATAACACTAGAAGAGGCACAAATCTGATGGAGGACTTACATTTACTAACTTGGGTCAGACCCAACCACAGAAGAGCTGCAGCTGGGTGGTAAACACACACAGGGAGTTCTAATAACACCTGAGCTCCATGGCGTCTGAGACTGATGCATCAGTGTTACAGCGGGACTAAAGACATGATCAGAAACAGGTTACAGCTGGATGATCTAGGAAGGTAGAAGATCAGGACGTCTGAGCGGTGAACAGGTGAGCGGACCTACAGGGCGTCCCGCTGTCACGCTAAGATGGGCACGGCTGCAGATCCACACCTGCAGCCGTAGACCACTCATCACATCTTACTCGTTCTTCACGGCCGTGATGCTCTTGGATGAAAACATCTGCCTCTTTAGCTCCTGATCAGCTGATGACAGCTTCAACACAACACGCTGCTTAATACACGCATTTCCTTATCAGTAACAGAAACAACGTTTTGATAAAAGAAGACGTAATTAATTAGTTTGTTCGTTACTGAAGGAAACATTTTTTTTAGTAACGCGGTTATTTTAAACAGCGTTATTCCCATCACTGCTCTGTTGTGTCTACAGCATGCTGAGACAGCGAGAACACTGAGGGTCTCCGCCCACCCGGCCAATCGTCATCGTGTTTGTAAGTGCGTTACCGACACCTCTCTCTCCCTGGCTGCAGCTGAAGTGTGGCGGTCAGAAAGCCTCACGCTGTTGCTCAACGTTCGACAAGCACATAGTAACGCACAACCTTCCGTCCCCAGTAACGGTAACGGCGTTGCAACAGTGCAAAAGTAATTAATTAGATTATTCCGTTGCCCAAAAAAAGAACGCCGTTATTTTAAACGGCGTTATTCCCATACACTGCTGGTCACGGGGCGATGGGGCTGGCTGGCATCTCATTAACCCTGTAAAGGGTCATTTTAGCACATTCTGGCTCAAGACAATGACTTATAAATGTGAATAATTTGCAAAGTATCCCTTTAATCCTTTAATTTAAGCCTCAAAATCAACAATATATTAATGAACAGTTTGTCCTCCCTCATCCGCTGATAAATCAGTGATGTTTATAATTACTATATGTTAAGAGTGAGACATCGGGTTGTAAATACTCAGATTGATCAAGGTCGCAGGAGGACCTGGTTCAAGCTTCACGGTACCTTAAACAGAGTTGGGTGGTATTACGTTTTTACTTAGAACAAAGTTCTTCAAAGTTTAATCTCTGTGTGCAAAACAACAATATTTGGCTTATATTTGTATCTGAACCGCATCCTTCCTATTCTGCTGTTAACTATTCTCTGCAGTCTCTGCATATGAAAGGCCACTAGGGTTGGGAATCAAAAATCGGTTCTTGTTGAGAATCGGTTCCCATTGTTTCAATCCCTAGGAATCGTTCGCCACTTTTGCATATGATTCCCCTTATCAATTCCAGTCGGCGTGAATTACGTCACCGCGCACGTTGCGTAGTTTACGGAAGCAGGCAACTCTGCGTCTAAACGGCACACACACTCAAAAGTTTGGTTGTATTTTACAAGAAAGCAGGACAACAGGGTAACTTGCAATAATTGCAAAGTAGATGTTTCATCAAGGGACGAAGCATAATGAATATACAAAAGCCTTTGGGCACAAAATACATTAAAACTTTGTTACTGATGTGTTTCGACCCGCTTCGGACTAGTGAATGTCAACGGAGCAGCAGCGGTGGCGTTCGCACATCCTCTCCTATTCATGCTGCAGGTAACTAATCAGCTAACACTGTGTTAGCGTCATTTACCTCATATAAACACCTCCACGCTAGCAGACTCCAGCGACACAGGTCGGACCTGTGGTGAGATTTTTCCCACTCTGCTAAAGCTACAGCAACACTACACCGAACACAAAAATGACTCTTCTTCACTGGGAGCATGAAGGGGAACATTTGGAAAGATCTTTACAGCTAATGCAGGTACAATTGCAGGAGCCGTGCGCAGTTAGTTTTTTTGCCACCTGTTTAACTTCTCTGGAATTGATGAGGAATTGGATCGAAGACAGAATCGACAATGGCACTATAGCGATAAAAACGTATCAATTCCCACCCCTAAAGGCCACCATGTTGATTCTCTAGGTTAGGGTTAGTTCAGTATTAAAGAGTGACCAGTGTTTGTAGTCCTGATTGAACAACCTAGAGCAGGGCTATTCAAATCCAGGCCTCGAGGGCCGGTATCCAGCACGTTTTGGTTTTACTCTGCTTCAACACACCTGATTTCTATCAGCAGGTAATTAACAGAGCCTGATGAACTGCTGCACAGGTGATTCAACCACTGAATCAGGTGTGTTGGACCAGAGAAACCACCAAAACGTGCTGGATACCGGCCCTCGAGGCCTGGATTTGAATAGCCCTGACCTAAAGGATCTCCTGAAGCCCAGAGGAAGAAGAGAGTGGGAAGCTGAAAGGACTTGGAGACAACAGGACAAAGAAGGACAGAAGGGGCTGAGCTAACAGTGACGGGACATTGTAAGTGCTTCTCCATGGAGGTGTCTCTCTGTGACAAAATAATAATGCTTCATTAATCTGGAAACATGAAGTAGACCCTTCAAATGCTCGTGCCTAACCAGAAAACAGGCAACACCACCAACTCCGCTACAATCTGAAGGAAACCTCTTTGTTTTTAGAAGTGATTTCCATTCAGCCCAAAGAGGAAATTACCATATTAAATCTGCCTTTTTTAGTTAGAGAAATAAATGTAAACCACCTTAAACAACAGGCTGCTGTTTGTGTAAATGTTTTCACACACTAGCATGCTCTTCTGATCTACAGCTAATGACATTCTGGGAGAGTTCCGACAGGATCAAACAGCTGGTGTTTACTCCATCACGAGGAAACGCTCCACAAAGCCACTGGGGCTACACCCCCCTCTGCTGGTGACCCTGCTGCTCTGCATGCTCCGTGTTTCTCCTCCTGCAGCCAAACAGCTGGCGTTCAGAGCAAGCTGCTGACCCATACCACAAGCCAGGAATAAGCAGAGCCTCTCCAGTCTCTGGCTGCACAGGAATCTTTCAGTCAGCAACATTTCAGAGTGAAGCCTGAAGATTGGATCCATGTGCTCAGCGGCGGAGCGCACAGATGAGGAACGGAGATCTTTTTTCACTTTACAGGCATTTAAAACCTTTATAATAGACGATTCATTAAAGACTCTATAAAGAGCAAACACACAAACCTCATTCCTGCAGAACATCTTTCTGGAACATCAAACAGCATGTTCTTCCTCTAAGTGAGTGGTGATGTTTTTAAACCTGCACTGTTATCCAGGCGTATCAAAGAACACCAGCGCCAGCTTTAGGCTACAGAATTTAACTCTATTATTCATTTAGGTTAACTCCAGAAAAGATTTTACCAAAATATTCAGAAGCTGCCTGAACCTAAGAAACTGGATGAGCTGCAAAGGAACCTACAATCAATATCAGTTGCTGTTGTCATCATAAATAACATAAATGTAAATAACGAGGTCTGGTCAGACTTGCACCGTACCGTGGAGGAGTCCCGTTCCTCTGCTGGGCTGTTTTCTTCCTCCTCCTTGCTGCTCACAGCGTCTCCAGCACTGAGGACATCCACAGCTGGAGAAAGTCACATAACATCACGCAATCAGTCCAAGGCAACATCTAGAACGAGCAGGTTAAAACATGCGTTGATGAGGGGGAAAGAAGCAGGACGCCGTCTTATTGCGTCTGCGGTGGTATGTGAAGTTTAGCTCCAGCGGGGTTTTACGATGCCTCTCCACAACTAATATAAGTGAAATATTTACTGGGCAAAAAACAGAATCATTCTAAAAAGAAGCTCTGAGAGGATTCAACCCACAGCATGTTGGCCTTTAAACATCTTCTGATTAATTCTAGAGAGACTAATAATCAAATGTTAATCTATATAAATGGATTTTTTTTGTTTACAAAACATCCTCATGTTGATGTGCAGCCTGAGAAGATACAGAGAAGCTGTCGGGGTGGCCCGTGATATTACATGCTACCATGCTGTAAATACATCCTGCAGCTGATAATGACACCCCGCTCTCTGAGTGACGCACAGCGCCGACCTTGCCCTTGACCTCTCAGGTTCCGTACAATTTCTTTAGATGAGTGAAAATTGCAGACAGAGGAGTTCTGGAGGTTCACTTAAGGATGAGAGCCTCTCCAAGTCTCACTTCCTGATCCAAACACACACACACACACACACACACACACACACACACACACGCAGGCCTGTCTTCCAGAGCTCCTAGCTGCTTGTCTCAAACCCGGTCACATGCAGCAGTACTGTGACTGTTGGCACGTGTGATAGTCTGGACTCAGAACTGCAGATAATCTAGTAACGGAGACTCAGTGATGAGTAGCGTGATCAAATTAATATGCTGGGTTCAAAGGAACATTAACGGTTGGGTATGAGAGTTTTTATCCTGGGAAAACCTCATCAAATCATCGTGAACGTCTCGTTCTTAATGACTGGGTCCTGATCCATCCATCAGCTGCCCTCTGACTGTCCCTCCCCCTAGAGTTCATACCCCTCTATGTGCAAAATTGATGCGTTCTCAGGCTTGTTGCAGCTGAACAGGAAGAAAAGCCAGAGCTGTGTATGCTACTGTGGGTGCAGAAAGTATTCAGACCCCCATCGATGTTTCACTCCGTTATATTGCAGTGGTTTGCTAAAATCAATTAAATTCCTTTTTCCTCATTAATGTACACACAGCACCTCATATTGACAGATTTATTGAAAAAGAAAAACTGAATGATCACATTCTCCTACGTTTACAGAGCCTTTGCTCAGTATTTAGCAGAAGCACCTTTTGAGCTAAACAGCCGTGAGTCTTCTTGGTAAAGATGCAACACGTTTCTTACACCTGGATTTGGGGATCCTCTGCCATGCCTCCTTGCAGATCCTCTCCAGGTCTGTCAGGTTGGATGGAGAACGTTGGTGGACAGCCATGTTTAGGTCTCTCCACAGATGCTCTATTGAGTTTAAGTCAGGGCTCTGGCTGGGCCACTCAACAACAGTCACAGAGTTGCCGTGAAGCCACTCCTTTGTTACTCTAGCTGTGAGTTTAGGGTCACTGTCATGTTGGAAGGTAAACCTTCAGCCCAGTCTGAGGTCCTGAGCACTCTGGAGAAGGTTCTTGTCCAGGATATGCTGTACTTGGTCGCTCTCATTGTTCCCTCAATTGCAACCAGTCGTCCTGTTCCTGCAGCTAAAAAACACCTCACAGCATGATGCTGCCGCCGCCATGCTTCACTTAGGGGACTGTATTGAACAAGTGATGACCAGTGCCTGGTACTCTCCACACATATTGTTAGTTTAGAATTAAAGCCAAAAAGTTCTATCTTGGTCTCATCAGACCAGATAATCTTATTTCTCACCATCTTGGGGTCCTTCAAGAGTCTTTTAGGAAACTCTATGTAGGTTTTCATGTGTCTTGCTCTGAGGAGAGGCTTCCGACGAGCCACTGTGCCATAAAGCCCTGACTGGTAGAGGGCTGCAGTGATGGCTGACTTTCTACAACCATCTCCAGTCTCCTGACTGCATCTCTGAAGCTCAAACACAGTGATCTTTGGGTTCTTCTTTGCCTCTCACCAAGCCTCTTCTGCCCCGGTAGCTCAGTTTGGCCAGACGGCCTGCTCTAGGAAGGGTTCTGGTCATCCCAAACCTCTTCCATTGAAGGATTATGGAGGCCACTGTGCTCTTAGGAACTTAAGGTGCAGCAGAGATGTTTTTGTAACCTTGGTCAGACCTGTGCCTTGCCACAAGCTCTACAGGCAGTTCCTTTGACCTCATTTGATTCTCATTTGCTCTGACATGCATTGTGAGCTGTGAGGTCTTATATAGACAGGTGTGTGGCTTCCCTAATCTAATCAGTATAATCAGACACAGCTGGACTCCAATGAAGGTGTAGGACCATCTCAAGAATGATCAGAAGAAATGGAAAGCACCTGAGATAAATTTGTGAGTGTCACAGCAAAGGGTCTGAATACTTCGGACCATGTGATATTTCAGTTTGTCTTCTGCAGAAATTTCTAAAAAATGTTTTTCTGTCAGTATGGGGTGCTGTGTGTACATTAATAATGAAAACATTTATTTAATTGATTTTAGCAAAAAACCTCAACATAACAATGAAAAATTGACAGGGGTCTAGATACTTTCCTTCAGGGATGTCCGAGTCGCCTGATTTTGAGAATCTGCCGATCCAGAGTCCCGATCCATTACGTTTGATACATAAAAATAGAATAAAGAAAGCAAAGAAACAGATCCAGAATATTCCTTATTTTTAATATTTAATTAACTTCATTTCAACACAACTCTGTTAAACAGAGCACTTCTTGAACAATCAAGTAATAAATAAATTATTCACTTTTGGACTTGATTGCTAATATAAAAAAGCCTAATAAATACGAATAGCAGCTCAACTTAAAATACCTGGCAGGGGTCTATTTTGCCTCGACCCTCACAATGCCTTGATACGGCCCTGAATGTGGGACTGAGGTTTGAAGGTGATCTGAACTGTATCAAATGAATAAAAATCACATGCTTAGAAAGTATTGCTTTATAAATGTAAAAACGTGTAGCCGTATAAATCTACCTTTATTTTATTTTTCAATGACTTTTTTTTTCTTGGTTTTAATTTCGTGTTTTCCTGTCATGTCGGTCTCTGCTCTTCCTGCATCTCCTCTCAGTTCTCCAGGAAAACTGCTGCCTGCTTCCTCCGTTTTCACCTCACGAGTCACTTTTTAACTAACCCTAACCACATCAGATCAAATGGATCTACTGACTGCAAAAACAGCGGCGTGTGTGCTGTGCTGCCTGACGCAGAGTCAGCGGACCACGGTTGATGAGCGCTGCAGCGGCAGAGCGCGCCTGGTCTACACGCCTCAGGCTCGAATAAAAGACTATGAACGGACACGAACGAGAGCGTATTTAATCAGATATTTTTGGGTGTCGCCACTTTGAGAATGGTCCTGTGGTTGTGTACAGGGCTGTCTGCGTCTCCACTCAAAAGATTCCCCACTACGCTCAGAGTCCATATATATAATATAACATGGGTAGAAACTGCTTGGATCTTTTTCCAGACTTCCTCTGGAAGTGTAACCCTGTATCCGAGTCCGGATCGGGATGTAACGCCCAATCCCGATCGAGTCTGAAACCACATTACTGGGACAGATTTCCAACCATGTGATCAGCTCGGGACATCCCTGCTTTCCGTACCAACTGTAAATGAGCTAGCACACCACACTATTGTACGGTTACTTAGTTGTGCCGAAACTCTGATCTAGGTCCCAGCGGCTTCTCTCCGGACTAAACTGTGTGTTTTACAGCAGCCACAAAGGACGGCTTCACGTCACACGCTCTAGAGGGATTACTCTAGCAGGACACGCTAACGTCACAAGTGTACTTGATGAAAGGTGTACGTCACTAAAATCAGATACTCAGGGCAACAATGATGAAAAGAGCTAATAGCGCCACCCTGCATACTTCTTTTATTAGACTCGAACTGAACTCCCAAAAAGATTTGTCCACATGTTCTTACATGTAGCCTCCATTGTTGCTAATGCTGCTAATGCTACTGTCAGATTGTACACTCACTCGTTTTGGCATCAATCCCTTGGTGTATTTTCATTGGTCGGCTGCAGACCGGAGTCATCAGACTTTTGGAGACTGACTTTGATCGTGAGAGTACTCACCACGCTGTCTCTGTGCCAGTCCCACTGGACGGCCACGGTTCTGCTAATCACCCTCACGTTTTAGTCACGACTCAGTTCACAGCGAGAGAATTGTCTAGGACAGCCGAAAAAGGAACAGCGTGGTCCGGGCTTTAGATTTTCAGTGGGGACAGAGTCATGAGAACTGCTGTCCAACACCGAACTAGGAGGAGTCCATCGGAGGCCTGGGTTACGTAGGTGCGTTGTAGGTGCAACAACGGGTCAAAAAGTTAAGACAATATTATGTTTTTATCCTTGCTTTGACAATATCTGTAACCTTCATGCTCCTGTATTCTGGATGTGTGCCTCGTGAGAGTTGCCAGAACAAAGGGTGTTGGACCTTTGAATTGTGAAACGGCCTTTTCCACGATCATCTACCCTGGCTTTATTTATTCAAACAAGCTAACAGCTAAATGCTAAATCTTGAATGGATGGCGAATCAGTCCTAAAAACCACGAAGATGAAGCAAAAATGTTCCTAAACCACAAATGTGCGTCAGACAAGTTAAACAAGCTGCACGATGGCAAACACAACAGCTCTATTTTCATCCACAACCAGAAGAGAACAGAATCTGATTTAGCGTATTAGCTTGGACTTTATGGGATGTATGAGTGTGGAAGTGAAATTAACCCCATCAGGAAACTCACTAAATGAGAGTTTACCCACCTTGCTGAGTACTACTGCTCCCTGGGAAGCCATGTGGGACTCCACCCACCACATCTCCAGTTGTTGGATTTTCAGTGTCAATGTCTGCAGTTGCTTCAGTGTTGGGAACATGTGGTTCTACTTCCAGATCAGGTAGACTGTCTCCGTTTGACTCTGTGCTGGCATCTTGTGAAAGCAGGACAGCGAGGTGATTCACAGCTGACCTCTGATCAGATGTCCTGTCTAGGTCTTCCCGGTCGAGTTGCGCTAGCACACACTGTACATTCCCACTCTCCTCTGTTCCCACTGGTTTATCACCAGTGTCCATCTGTGGAACGTCGTCGTTGCTCTCCTCTGTGGCCCATGGTCCTGGTGAAGATGGGACCAGCTCTGATGTACTACCCTGGATCCTTATATTCAGCTCAGAGCTGCCAGACTCACCAACCTCTCCTATATTCTCCGTTGAAGCTTCCTTGTTCACTGGTTCCATAAACAAACCCTCCTTAGTGAGCTCTGGGATCTGGTCCACGGTGGTCCCCACCATCTGGGGCTGTGATTCAGCTTCAGGGTTACCCTCGATGCAGTCTGAAGGAGTCTGTTCACCGAAAGGACCAGACTCCAAGGAGAGCCCTGACTCCACATTTAAAGGGTGCTCATTGGTTTCAGTCGGTTTTAAACGATTTAGGTCCTCGGTTTTGTGGTCTGTTGAGGAGGGTTCAGTCACCTTCGTGTGGAGCAAGTCCTCTTCATCCACTGTGTGATTGTCCTGAGCAGAGTTAAAGACTTCTGTTGAAGAGCTTCCAAAAGATCTAAAGCTACCTTCATCGTCACTGGAGTGGCCATGGGCCACGCCCAACTCAGGATCTGTTGCTTTTTTAGTCACCATGTTCTCTGGAGATGCCTCCGAGTTCAGATCACCCTGTGTGTCCTCCGAGGCACTGCCAGGAGCCCAAATGTCTGTTTCCTCAGGTTGATCTGAAAGAAAACCTTCCCTTTGAACAGAAAAGTCCTCACCATCCAGCTCTTTACCGCTCACAGCTCTAGAACAATTCCCAGAATGACGAGCAGCTTCTGAAGCCAAGCCCTGCTGCTGCTCTGCTCCATAATTCCTACCAGCTGTTTCCTGGTTTTGTTCATGGCTGTTTATGTCTGGCGGAGGTTCCCCCTCATGGAGGCCTTCTATCAGGAGACATGGAGCAGCCGACTCACGCTCCTCTATTACATCACTGCAGCCTATCGGAGGTGGACTGGGTGTGTCCCTCGGGGCTGATACGGGGTCTGTTAACTCTTCACTCCCTACGTCCTCTTCAGCTACACCACCTCCATCTTCCTGGCTAATGTTTGTGTCTTTCTTCACATCTTCAGCCTTCCCTTGTGAATCGGAGGAGTCTGAAGCTTCGGAGCTCCCTGAGAACAGAGACTGGCCCATGACTGAAGTGTTCGTGTCCCCACCGGCAGTGATTAGAGGTGTTGACTCAAGGATGCTCTCCTCCTTCCTCCTGGCCGTGTCGTCCTCTACTTCCTGCTCAGACTGGTCCTCTCCCTTCTTGGCCTCCTGCTCTTCCTGGATCACAGCCTCTCCTCTATCAGTTTCCTCTGCATGTTTACCACAGCTTGCTGCTGCTAGGATTCCCACAGTGACACTCTCCGCCCCAGCCTCACCCTCTGCCCCGTCACTCCCGTCACACAAATTCAGATTCTGGCCAGACACGGCACCCCCCTCCTGCTCCGTTTGGGTCGGCTCTCCCTCAGCGCTTGAACCGAGACACACCTGATCCTGTGGGGGGCAGAGGCCGTGTTCCAGGGGGCGTAATTCTGAACTCAGACTCCAGCCTTTCTCGATCTCACCGAGCTCACAAACAGCAGTGATGCTACATTCCACTTTGTTGTTTTCTCCCTGGCTGCTTTCAGTGGTTGTATCCAAGCGAGGTGACGTCACACAGGGCTGCTGGAGTTGCTCCTGACAGGTTAGGTCTGTTTTCACACCATCACAGCATTCAGCAGCAGTGTGAAGAGAGTCCAACTGTAGCTCCAGAACACCAACTCCCTACAGAGCACACACACAGAGGAGGAAAACGTTACTTCTGTCTGTTTTTGTGAGCTGCTCTCTGGTTCTTATCAGGAGCCAACTCTGTGATTGCATAAGGTGTTCCAATGGTTATACAAACCACGCTTAAAAATGAAAGAAAAAACCGGGGCGGTGAAAAGACACACTGTCCAGATCGCCCAGCAGCAGCAGGGCTCTCGGGTGAAGCCGACAGCCCCTGGAAGGCTGCAGCGTTGTGGCTCACCTTGGTGTGGAGGTGGGAAATGGAGTGCAGCAGATGCTCCACGCTCTTCTGAAAGGATGGAGCCTCACAGCCGGGCAGGACCTTCACTGTCAGAGTGTGTGTGTTTAATGTGGGGAGGTGGCAAAACACCCAGGCTTCCCCAGAAACCAGAAGAGCAGCTTCAGTGGCCTTGTCCGTCTCTGCATTAGCCCCAGCCCTGCCGCGAAAAAAACACAGTAGAAAAAGTCCGAAAGCTGCATCCAGTCCAGCACAAACTCATTAAAACATCCTGTGATAACCTGGTTAAAAGGCCCGTCCCTGCTGATAAGCCTTCTACAAAAACCACAATCCTGCTCCTGCTTTGTCTTGATGAAACTTGAGGGTTTCAGAGGTTTTTTCTCCTCCAGAGACACCGCTGTGAGGAGGATACTCCTCCCAGTGAGGCAGATCGGCTTGCGCAATCCTGGGTGGATCGCTGACTCCGAGGCCCGTCAGCTGAAGTCACCACCCGGGCTGCAAGTGACTTCACTTTTCCTGAGCGAAATGCAATTACAAACATAAAGAGAGCTGGAGGTTGTAAAGCGACGCCTGGCAACAAGGAATCTGGCTAAGTGGTTGTTTTCTTTCAGCTAGTGACATCCTCGTTTTCAAGTGAAAACTATTCTGCTGCAGACACACGGAGGGCTTCGGAGACATACAAGGGTGCCTTTCCTCCTAAGGCTGAGTACCAGTCTGCTCATTAGGACGCTGTACTGTGGTTAAACGTTTGGCTGTAAAAGAAGGAGTTAGTATGACCCCATTAGTCTCCCTGTAAGGAGGTACCATTGTGGACACAACATTACAGCTTCAAACAGAGCACATTCATACATTCCTCTGCAGTTTTCCATCTCTCTGGATTCTTTTGGAACAATACTGACAGCCTACAACTGTCCTATTTGTCCTCGACTGTCCGACTGCAGCTGAGAGCGGTAGGCCAGGCTGACGCGGGGGCTACGTGAATGCTGTCATTGTTCTGTGAAGACAACAAACAACATAACAACAAAAGGAAGGAAGAACCAAACCATCTGCCTTCTGATTCAGCGCCACACAACCGTTAGCAGAGAGCAGAAACGAGCGCTGAGGTGAGGCTGCTGCCGATTAGTTTCATAAAGCTGCTGCAGGATAGAAAACTCTCTCCTCAATCTTTAGAAGGTTCTAACAATGAAATCGTTAGGATTTAAATGCAAGGCCTACATGAACTCTGGATAATCTGGATAAAGCACCAATAAAGTTTTTTTTTTCCTAAAACAAGTGGTGTCCAAACGTTCTGAGACACTGCCAAAAATCTTCAAAAGTAACATCAAAGACTTAATCAGCAAGAACAGATTTATTGTAATTATTTAACCTGTTCAACAAATGAAACGCGCAACATTTTAATGTCAAGAACAGAGTGTTTGATTGATTATGCAGATCTTTGTAGCTATTTTCAATTCAATTCAATTTTATTTATATAGCGCCAAATCACGACAAGAGTCGTCTCAAGGCACTTCACATAATAAACATTCCAATTCAGGTCAGTTCATTAAGCCAATCAGAAATAATGTTTCCTATATAAGGAACCCAGCACATTGCATCGAGTCACTGACTAGTGTCAGTGACTATACAGCAATCCTCATACTAAGCAAGCATTTAGCGACAGTGGAGAGGAAAACTCCCTTTTAACAGGAAGAAACCTCCAGAGAATCCTGGCTCAGTATAAGCAGCCATCCTCCACGACTCACTGGGGATCGAGAAGACAGAGCAGGCACGCGCACGTACACACACACACACACACACACACACCAAGCAATGTGTCTATGGTTACATTGTGATTGCTTAGTAAATATTGTATTTGGTGAGAGATAAACTTTATTGTATTTATCCTAGTGAATCTATTGTTAAACGGGTAAGCTAGTAGTAGCACATCCAACGTCAAGAAAAGCAAAAAGTTATTATCAAGAGAGGGAGAAAGTTTAAGTGGTTAGCAGCAGTGTGCTAGACGATGGCCCCCTCCATGAGGCCACCACAGCTCAGCAGAACATGACTCTCTACGCCTTAAGGGACTGTCTGAGTTGAGTCAGTCATTAGCAAAAAGAACAGGATCTGGGTCGAGCTTTCTTCTGTCATGTTCGCTGACGTGCTTCAGCCACGTTTTCTCAAGGATGCTCACAAATCTTGGTTTTAGTAAAAGTTTCTGGTTTTTGGATTACCAGGAAATGTAATTATATTAGAAATATGAGAAATAAGACAATTACTTTGTATTGTGATTTGACTTATGCATTTTTACAGATGTTGTTCTGCCTCACATCAGGAAAATTATGAGTATAAAATGCTTTTCTGCATCAACAGCCTGTGCTGGACGGCCATGAGCTGCAACCAAGGGCCACACAAATCATCACTGAGGGCTGAAAGTGGCTCCTGGGCAGCACACTGAACAGGACTGCTGCGCTGATGCATCATGGGACTTTCATCACATTACACACCAGTAATCCACACACAGAACTACAGATTATGGAATGGATGGATTGTTGCAACAGGAGCATTTAGCACCCCTCAGAATATACAAGAACAACGAAGGAAGAATTGAAAACTATACATCCCTTAATGAATTCAGATAAGAATAAATGTTGTCTGGGCCCTAACATGGAAAATCTGCCAGATTTTAGATGTGTCAAGGCCTCAAACTGAGATGAATAAATCTAGCTGAAGCTGACCAAGAGCAGCGTTTCTGTGCCAAACTTACTTTGTGAGAATCTGGTGAACGTGCTCGTGTCCCCGTGACGCTGCAACAGCAGATGGCGTGTGGCCCTCTTTGTTGGCCAGCTGAAGGGCCTCTCTGGCTCCGGGCTGCTGCAGCAGAAAGCGTGTCACCCGGGAGAGGCCACGCCGCGCCGAGAAATGCAGCAGCGTCTCCTGAGGACTAAGGTCTGCGAACAAGACAAAATGCACAATTAAATACAAACCCAACCTAACCGAGGCAAGGCAGAGACACGTGCTTGTATCCAGTCCAGGAAACCACTTCAATATACTGTCGCCTGCAGCAGCTCAGCACACTGAAACCAGGAAATCATCAACAGCGACCCAACAAAACAACATAAACCTCAAGATCTATTTTTTAAAAATCTCTCAAAACAGAGTAGGGTTGTCACGATACTAAAATTTCAAACTCGATTCGATACTTGAAAAAAACTCGATACTCGATTTCGATACTATTTAAAAACACCCATTTATCGAACAAGTTTATTCAAAAAATAACATTCCTCAATTTATATTGCAAAAATTAAATGTTAAGAATTAAGTGTATTAAGTGCTTAAACCTTTCAAGTATCAGCATTTTTTAAAACGTGCATACAAAAACTGGCGAAAGTTAACACTTTAAATCATGAATTGTCTCACTGTATATACACTATTTGCAGAGTGATGTTTTGCTGCTTAAACTCTGTTTAAGGTGCATTTTTGTCATAAGATGTAATGCCATGTGTTTTGTTCTGTACTTTTGAACAACTCTGTTGGTCAATAAAGGGAGAAAACAAATTTCTCCACAGTAGGACAAAGGTACATCTACCGGTAATCTTAATAAAAACAGATTGGCGCACGGCAGTGACGTCATTAAAAGCGCCGGTTAGATTAGCCGCGGCTAGTCTGTTCACGCCTAGAAATCCCAGACCCGCTCCAAACGAACAGGGGAATCACGTTAATGATTCCTAACAAAACCTTTCGACATGAAGATGTTTTGGTGCAGATAATGTCTTATTTCGAGGCTGCACCATGGGTGCCCGTCCGCACCCGTTATATGGATATATACGCAGACGGTGATTCGCCGATGGATCTAAATACCCCGGGGAATCCAAGTAGCACCAAAGTTGTCAGCGTGAGTAAACAAACGTACTGCATGCTAGAAATTAAGTCCGGGTTGTAATAAACGGGAGTTTTCCTTTAAGCACATAAGCGTGAATATACAACTACGTGTCGGACTTGGTGTGCTAATTAAGTTGGGCTGTGAAGCGCCTCCCAAATTCGCTGTTTATGTTTTTGTTTATTTATTTGGCAGACAAAACTTGGATTGGAGACAACTCGCATGGGAAATTGCAATGTAGCCATGCGGCGTCTTCTTCTGTTTGTCTGGGAGGCAGAGGCTGCTTTACGGCATCTGGCTGTCGTGTGTGTCGGTGTACTTGAAGAAGGCTGTGTATAATAGTCCATAATATCGATACCACAGGGATGGAATATCTCATTTAGATACCACTTTTAGTATCGATTTATATCTGGGTATCGATTTTTTGACAACACTAAAACAGATGGAATTGGAGAAAATGCCAACAGCTCTGAATGTAGAAGATAATTTAGAGAGCTATTAAAAACAAAACACTGTCTCAGTTCTGCTGAGGTGAGCGCACCAGTTTTAATTTAGTCCATTATCTGCTTTTTAGATCAGTAAACATCCTATTAACACCATAAAGCACTGGAACAGTCCTGTTTAAGCCCCCACAAAGACAATTAAAGAGATTCATGTGCTAACTTCACCTTTCTGCCAAAGGTTCGGAGAGAAAAGGCTGCTGACTGGATCACAGACCAGCTCATGTCGAGTCTGGGTGAATAAACACGTTTCCTCAGAACAATCACATCGCTCTGTTTCTGCTCCAACTCTTCTGTAAATGTCAGTTTGTTCCATTCCAAGTCAGTTTAAATGTTTGTGAATTTAAACACAGAATTAGAAAAGGCTCAAGCAAAAGGGATTACGCACAAATAATTCAGTAAATCCAAACTAATTAAAAACAGGACCACAATCAAGTCACGCTGCTCTGACATGATGATAACAAGAGCTTCAACTTGAACACGGACTCGAGTTTCTGATCAAACCAGATGGTTTGTGGTTATTTAAGGAAACGGACGCAGAGAGAAGATGGATCTATTCAACTGTTGTGATGTATATTCATCTGTTTGAGGAGGCTGTGAGCTTTTCTAGCAGCTGTCTGGTGGAAGAATTTGTGTAAAGCTGAAAGCTACAATCATCTGAGGAACAAAGAAAACTCAAAGGGTCAGAAAATATATTTCATTTCTACTCTAGAATAATCGGTTAGCAGCATCTCTTGTGTCTGCAGATGAGCGGTTCCAGCCCATTTACCTTGGGCTGGCCTGAACCACCCTGCTCTGATAAACGCTCAAGCTAATTGGTCGAATGTTACGCTCCACTTGGTCAAGCCGGGCCGGGTAGGAATGCGAGATGCCATACAGCAGCAGGAAGTGTTTTACTGCTGGGTCTGTTGGTGGTTTACTGAAAACTGGCTGCAGTCGTTGCGCGGTTTCGTGCTACGAGAGTTGGTGGAGTTAGATCCAACTGCTGCAGAACAAGAATCACAAACACCAGAGGCTTAGCAGAACATTTGGTGACCGTGAGCCAACAAAGCAGCTTCACAGAGTCTTGGCAGAGACAACAGAAAGCTCTCAGCTAGTTATTTTTGCTCGGTATAAAACGTGTTGTTCTTATCTGTTCCAGTCACATTATTCATCACAAGTGTTTATCAGAAAACCAAAGGAAAAAATCTAAACACTCTTCATTCTAGAGACACTTTTGCCATTTGTGCCCAACTTTCCTTAACAAAAACAAACTCCCACACAAACACACAATAGGAGGCAAATGAAACAGGTGACATGAGCTAACCGGTTACTCAGCTGGGGCTGTATATAATTGTTTGTAGAAAAACTGTCATATTATGGTATAATCATAATATAATAACATTTGACACCACAGAGTAACACTAGCTGATCCAACAGCAGTTGTTAAAAGTGGTGTATCACCACAGCTGGATGTCCCAATGGGAGCTAAACATGAGAGTTGGTGTTTTAGTGGCAGGAATGTGTTACAGGGGGTCTAACCCCTACTGCACTCTGGAAGCATCGGGGGCGCGGAACGGCATTGCTTCAAATAGAATCCAATATAGTTTATGGAGTGTTACAAACCAGCTGCGACGCGCCAATTTTCAGAGACGTCCCAGAAGCAGCACACCACGCCACGCCACTAAAGATAGAATTAGGTTCTATTTTTTTCTGCGAGCCAGTTCTGGGCAGCATCGATTTCCGCAGTTAACATAAGGCTAGACAGGAAATTACACATGGTTTCAATGTAAAATCCCTGGTAAATTTCAAAATAAAAGTATTGCAGCGATGCAACTTCATCTAAATGAAGCTTACGTGTGACCCAATGGCTTATTTAATCCCAATATCGCTTCAGAAGTGCAGTGAAGTGTTTTTGTGGCAGTTAATCCTGGCAGTGGAGAGGAACAGCATCAGACAAATCAGACCACCACAAAATCTCTTTTCCCATAGCGTAGTTGCTACTTAACACACGGACAGATTTATGGTGGTTCATTCGTGCTAAAGGGAGGATTTCTGTTTTTCTTCGTGTCTGGTTCAATGGTATCACTTTAGTGAAGCACATTTCTAGTCCTGGACTTATTTTCACACAAAACCTGAAATAATGTTTCCCCCTACTCGAAAATAAGCTCTTTCTTGACATCAAAATGTGTCTTCACAGACATCATACGTGAAATCCATGGCTCATAACAAGCAAGATTAGAAAATAGCGTTTTTAGCCCCATGGTCCGGAAGTAGATGGGCGTGACTTCCGATCCTATCTTTTGCGGTGCTTTCAGTGTGAAACTGGGGTTAGGCTCCCTATAGCCTGGTCACTGGTCATGAGCACAGCAATAAGAAAGGAACCTTGTGGGAGTGATGACATCCTGACATGTGCACAGTTTTGCTTCATGGGGGGTGGTGGGGTAGAAAACCAGTCAGTATCTGGTGTGGCCACTATTTGCCTCCCGCAGGGCAACACATCTCTGTCGCATAGAGTTTGCTGGCCATGCAAGAACTGGGATGTTTTCAGCCTCCAGGAACTGTGTACAGATCCTTGCAATATGGGACCATGTGTTATCATGTGTGTTATCATGCTGCAACATGAGGTGATGGCCGTGGATGAATGCAGGTGTGGACAGGCCAATCTGGCATTGTGGCACTGTCCCAGTGGGCCGTTTACTCTCTAAAACCGGACTTAAAATCCTCAAACAGATCATTAGTGTTTAGACGCTCACATACTTGATTGGCCACTATTTTCTCAAGGACTTTGGATAAAAATGGAAGGTTAGATATTGGTCTACAAGTCATTAGGTCATTTGGATCCAGAGAAGATTTCTTAAATAGAGGTTTGATTACAGCAATCTTAAAAACCTGTGATACATATCCATTTACTAAGGATAGATTGATTATATCTAGAATGGGGCAGTAACCAAAGGAAATCCATCTTTAAATAATTTGGTTGGGATTGGATCTAAAAGGCAAGTTGAAGGTTTAGATTAAGCTAATATTTTTGATAGCGCTGAAAGCTCAACTGAATAAAAACGGTTCAAACACAGATGAAGTTCTACAGTTACCTTTGATGCTGCCTCACTTACTGAGGAAAATAAATCATATTAGGGAGGATGGTAATTATTTTGTTAGCTTCTAAGTGCTTCTAAGTCTAAGTCAATGTCCATATGAATGTTAAAATCCCCCACTACAATGACCGTATCAGCATTTAGCACCAAATCAGATAAAAAAAAAAAAAAGAAAGATCTGATCCAAAAACTCAAGGGCCTGGTGGACAATACATAACTACAAACAAGAGTGGTTTTAGAGTTTTAATCAGAATTAGGAAAACTAAGAATAAGATGTTCAAAAGAACTGTAACTATTAATTGGCAAGGGATTGATTAATCGGTTTGAATGTAATATGAAATTTTGTCCTAGTCCACCCCTGGATGAATGGCACAACAATAGGCCTCAGGATCTCATCCTGGTACTTCTGTGCAATCAAAATGCCCTCAATAAAATGCACCTGTGTTCATTTTCCACAACATACGCCTGCCCATACCAGTACCCCACCGCGGGCC